TTTTTTTAGTATTTTATAATTAAATGAGCATTATGAGTCGTGCACTGTGGATTTTCCAAATTTTTTATAATTTTAATTGTTTTGTAGATTCTGTAGACACATTTAAGAAAATTTTTATTGCATTGACAACTTTTAAGATTCAAATATTATTGCAATAATCATGCAAAATTTTAAATTCAAATAATTTTAAATTCAAATTTTACAAAATTTGAAGGCAAAATATTATTAATTTTTTTAGTTCTTTGACAACATTTATTTTTTCAACACACTACATTGATAAATTACGTTAATGCAGTATAAAATCTCAATTTTTTATACGCTGATAGAAGGATTTCTTAGCATTTAAGAAGATTTCTTTGTATTTAAGCAATCATTTCTTAAACATTATTTCTTAGTATTTATAATATTTCTTAAATACTAAGAAATTATGTTTAAGAAATGCTTTCTTAAATACAAAGGAATCTTTTTAAGTACTAAGAAATCCTTCTATCAGTGTAAACTTATTATAAAAAAAATCAAATTGAATCACAAAAATAATTTTGAAGAATTTTATCGTCTTAATTAAAGACAATGAAACTCTTCAAAATTATTTTCTTAGATTAATAATTTTTTTCTTGAAAAAAAAAAAATCCTCTATCCTTTCAGGAAGGATATAACCTTATATTTTATCATTATCAATAACTTGTTACTTAAAATAAGTATCAGACTACCGTGCATCTCACAATACAACAAAATCCAAAAAAATTTAACGATCGTCCTTGCCTGAGTAGGTCAGTAGGAGAAAAGTAAAATGGATTTTACCCAAGAAAAATAGTCATACTCTTTAAGAAATATTATTTTATGATCCATCTACCGGAAAACCTTAAACACATAAATAGATTTAATTGCATGTACTATTGCCGTTACCGGTCAGCATTATTGAATTGTGTGTATAGTAGCTACTATGTATAATCTTCGGTTTGTTCTTTTCGTAATACACAGCGTTAAGGAAAAAAGTGGCTATAAATTTTAAAAGAAATTTTATGGACCAAGGACACTAGTTTTAGTCAGACCTTTAACAATTTTATGCTTTTACTCCTTCACAATTTTTAGTACGATCTTTTACTGTCGGTTTTTTTTTTTTTTATTAAATAAATTTTCTTACGGGTTAGAATTATTAGTTGCTGTAATAAATGCTGAAATAATAAACGGTGATAAATTGATTACTTATAAATAAAAAATTTTATTTTTCTAGGACACGATGATGGATTGTGGAGGTTATAGTGGCGTCAGCGATCTCAGTGATTTAACGACAGATATTTCAGATACTTCGGCAAATATTCGTGGTAATTTTTTTTTGTTTTTTAAGTATTATTCGTTTTATTAATTAAGGGTAATTATTATTGTTAATTCAAAAGTAAATTCGAAAGATGATATGAATATTCATAATTATAACTAGCAACCTGCAGTCACTATGCGATTGCCGAGATTTACAAGTTATGAATAAGAAAACTTTGGCGTAATGATTTTTTGGTGACACGACCAAATCTCCCCGGAAAAAATCTCCCCGACAAAATCTAATTTTGAATAATTTTAAATAATAATATTATTATTCCTGACAGTTGTGATGGTACTTTTCGTGTAAATGTACACAAAAAATCATGATAAAAGCGCACAACGAGATTTTGAAGCGTATTTTGTCGGGGAGATTTCGTGGTGGAACCGATTTTTTTATATTTATAATCAGACTGTAAATATAGTTTGGGTACTTTTTAAATAAATTTTAAAATTAATAGTGCTATCACAGGATCAATTACAAATAATTTAATGGACAAATGTGACCGAACGAATTTATAGAACCAAAGAACTATTAAAAACTCCTCCAAAAATTTGACAAAAAATTATATAAAACGAAAAGACACTAATTCTTGTCTCGACTTTTCTGATGATAGATAGATAGATAGATAAAGTGATTTATTTGACCTTAGAGCCTGGGCTCCCTCAAGGCCATCAAAGTTATATACAGTATACATTTTCATTTACAGTAATCTTATTAACAAATAAATTTCTAATTATATAATATAAGTATAATTTCCGAATACAATAAAAAGTATCCAAAAGGAGTATAATAGCCAAATATAATATGAATATAAATATAAATCTTGCATAGAGTTACATATGTAATTTAAGAATTAATTCAATCAAAATAAATAAATAAATAATACCAATGATGACATCAAAACGAAAATAGTAGAACACAATAATCATAATAATAACAGTGATAATAAATAAGTGGAGATTATCTAAACATCTTTTTCGAGAAGGAATACAAATAAGCGATTCTGAAATTCAGTCAAATCATCTACAGTTGTAAGCCCAGCCGGCAAAGAGTTCCAGACTCGTATGCCTTGAATTAGAAACGATTTATCGTAAATATTACTTGTAGACATTGGTAATCTCAAGTAATCCTGCCTAATATCTCCTCGGCGCATTGCAACCTCCAGGAACTGCAGCTTTGAGCCAAACAATTGACGATAATTTAACCGAATTTCTTTGATGATATTAAATTAAACTAAAAATTTCTTTAAAAATAATAATATGCTCGTCAAAAAATTTTTCTTTCTCTCTTAATTACTTAAATCATAAATAACTATCGTTAAAAAATATCAAACCCAATTTACGATAAAGATATACCCGTTACTAAATTTTTCTTAGTCTCTTAATTGTATAAATTAATTTTTGACATATAACCACATTGATGTATGGGGCATTCCACGCGAAATAGGAAAATGATTAAAATTAAAAAATTTCTCTAATTCATTCTAATTTATTATTAAAAATCTATATTTTACTAATTTGTAAAGAAAATTTTATTTAATCAATAAGAAAATTGATTTTTCTCTCCTAGTAACTTTTCAGCCGTACTAACTTGTATCCAGGTCAAATGTTGTTTTAATAGTTTTAAGAACAAATTCATTTTATGTTTGTTATTAACTAACATATTTATTATTATAGTTTTAAGAACAAATTTTTTTATGTTCATTATTAATTAACACCTAAGTTTATCAAGATCGGCATGTTGTCAACATGCTAAATCCTTTATTTGTGTTTTTTAATTAGTTTCTTTTAATTATCCTAAATAATTTATAGTTAAATATATAAATAATAATGTTTCTGAGGTTGAAATAATATAAAAGTCTTTTTAATAAACAACTTGATGTAGACATTTTGTACTTGTCCCGACAGTCACAAATGCCTGTCCCATCAGTCACAATAAAAACAAATTTTTTTAATTGTTTCTACGTATAGATAATCAGTCTAATTCTTCATAATATTGAATGTTTCTAGGATAAATTTTGTAGTGAGAGGAAAGTATTTTTTAAAAGTTTAGTGGTCGAACTGAAATTCGACTTTAAGTATACCGCGGTAAGAGAGAAGGATTTTTCGATGTCCCACCAGTCAAACTCAGTCAAATGATAATTACGAGAAACTTCAAAAGTTATCGAGGTTTTTGACAAAGGGATGTTGTTAATTAGTTATTCTTCTATATTATAAGATAAATTTTACTATAGTATAAGTTTCAGTCTCATAATTATAACTTACAATTGATAGAATTCCAAAGTCAAATGTCCCACCAGTCACTATGAAATGCCCCGTGTACAAAACGAAATAAATAAATAAACAAATTTTGTTTATCGGTAAATTCGAATCTATTTATAACTACTTCGAAAACTTATCATAATAAATAAACTATTTTAGAAAAGCATATGGAACATTGAAAAGACACAATTACCTTTCCAACGATACCAAATTTAACCATAAAAACCCATTTTATCATATAAATATACTGTCCACAAAATTTGGCTTATTCTCTTAATAATTTAGATGATTAAAGTAATTTTTGAATGTATTAAAGCTTCTTAATCCTTTAAACTGATATTATTTTTTATTAAAAAGTTTTATCAGAACTTTTAAGCAAAAATTTTGCTCTTTAAAAAATTTAGAAAGCTCCAATATTAAAAAATTAATATTGCAACAAAAATGAATAAATAAATAAATAATAATAAAATTAGAAATCTTTCATTACGATTGTTATAATTGTTCAACAAAAATTATTTGAAATCTACCAAGTAATTTTATTGTATACCTATACTTCACCTGCTAAGGGTGGTCATATACTTTCTTCTCTCCTGCCTATTCACTATCTAAAGGCTCCATACATACATACACACACACACACACACACACACACACACACACACACATATACGGGTGGTTACGATCAGACAAAAAAAAATCTCACAGCCATCCAGTAAATAAAAAGAGACGTGATCTAGACTCGTGCGAAATTAAGGGCTGAGAACTATAAAGTAGATCTTATTTACAATATAAAACGGGTAACAGGTAGTTCCCATGAGACGGATCCAGTTGATGATTCCCATGCTATAAAAAACCTATAATAAAATAATAATCAAATTTTCGATTCGACTCTGGTCTCTAGACTCGTGTAATATTAATTTATCTCTACTTGAGAATATTTAATATAAATTACAACCCTCTGATAATAAATTTATCGATAAAAATTTCCAGTGGCGGCAGAACGGCTTCTGAATCTTCTGGGAATCGAGGATGAAGACGATGATTTTCTGTCATCCGAGGACGAAGGAGTCGAGCTGGACATCGACGACGAGGACGATGACGTGATATTTTCCGACGATGAAAACAACAGACTGCTCCAACAGCTGGCAAATTCTCTCGCTGAAGAACTTAAAGCGAGTTCGCATCGGCAATCTTCACCTCCAGCTTCTTCTCTAGCTCCTCTAGCTTCATCAGCAACTCGAAAATACCAAAGCTACCACGCGGACTTGGAAGACCTGGAACTGGACTATCGGTCCCATAAAAGGCTCAAAGTAGACAATGTCCAAAATTCTAGTCCCGTGTGTTCGTGGAACACCGGGTGGGACGCCTGTGCTACCGAAGCTGTGAGATATTTGATGGAAGAAGAGGGTCTTGCTGGTCATCATCCAACTGTCCTGGCGCTCAAAAATCACCTGGCGTTACAACGGAATTTATCAGCGTACAAAACTTAGTAACATTTCATTATTCGTATTTATCTCTTTTCATCTACTTCTTTTTTTCATTTTCATTATTATTGATTATAATAATAATAATTAATAATTTATAACAGTGATTGATTATTAGCGAAATTGTATACTTAATATTATTGATTCAGTGATAAGTTGATTGACGGATTTGTGATGTAATGATAGTGATCAATTTTTATGGTCATGTGATTATTCGAAAAATTTTATTAAGAAAAAAAAAACTCTGCCCGGGACTCGATCTTAGGTTCTCCCAGCTACTGATCGAGCGCTTCACCCCTCAGCCAAGTCAAATTTTTGAACTCTCTTCAAATTAAACGGGAAAAATTCTAAAATACTCAGATCGACTCCCCGAATTTAGAAAAAGTATTATCAAATAAAAATTTTCAAAAATTTCTATAATTCTTGATCGAAATAAAATTTTCTAATAATCATATTACCGTATTACTATCACGATGTACTGATTTTTCTTACGTTTATAATTAGGCTATTTAATTAAGTATTTTAAATATCGATCAAATACCCGAATTTGTATTGCATTTACTAATTTAATTTGATAATAAATAACCTGCTTAGTATTTAAAAATCAAGAGTTCAAGCAGGTCTTGTTAGTCTCACAGTTACACCGAAATAAGTACTCGGAGTACTAATTATAATCATAATAATAAGCGTTCAAACAAGTGATTACTTTTAAAATTCTGGACTCTACTTTTAGTTTTAAGAATCTTTTAAATAAATTTAATTATTAATTATTAGCATAGTGACTAATGAAAAATTTTTAGGACGCACTGTAAATATGTAAAATAATTATTTAATTTATACACGTAAATACCATGTAATTGTTACTTTTACAATAATTGTAGATAGTAGTAACATTTAAATGCACTTGATAATAAATAACAGCTACACGGAGAGAAAAATATGGAAATCATTCCTATAATTTTAATGAAATATTTTCCTATACCATTTTAGGAGCGATTACTTAAATTATGGGAATTATACCCATAATTTTTGGGAAACGTTACTATAATTATGGGAATGGTTCCTATAATTATAGGAACGATACCTATAATTATAACTGTAATATCGGCATGATTCCCATAGTATATAGGAATGATTCCTATAATATTATGGGAACCATTCCCATAATATTATAGTAATTTTTTTTTCACACAACTGTAGTATTTAATTAATTACTTTTCACTAGATATATTTTTTTTTTGATTAAGTGATTCTTTTTTATAATATATAAATTTATAAAAAAGTTATCAGTAATAATATTTATCATTATTATTATTATGAAATTAATCAGTTGCAGCAGTTGGTATTTTTTTAATCTTGAATGGTATATATGCTTGTAAATTAAAATAAAATTAATTAAAAAAAAAGGTTAATTAAAAAAAAAATTTCTACTAGAAAAAAAAATTTCTTAAATAAAATAAAATTTCCAACTGTTTTGAAATTCTAAATTTTCAAATGGTTTCGCGGCTCAACGTATGTATTGTAAATAGATAATTTGCTTTAAAAATAAAACGAAATTGTGAAAATAAACAATGAATTTCCATATCTATTTTGCTCCTACAATTGTATAGTGAGAAAATATCATTTTTATTAGAGACACTTTAAAATTGCTACAATATTTTTCAATATTATTTAACACAATATTAACTGAGCTGGAATAAATAATTCAAGATTAAGTACACACGTGAATAAAAATTATGAAAAAAAAATTTTTTCACTCTAATGAAAGATCAATTTTTATTTACAAAAAAAAATTTTATTAGCAAAAAAATACATAATAATTACTTTATATTTTTGAAGTGATTGCTTCATTATTAAGAAAATAAACTTTTGCACGCCTCATAAGCGAAGCGTTGAGGTTGTGCTCTACTCTCGACATTTCGAAAAAAGCAGTTTTCTCGAAACTGAAATTGATTTTTTGTTATTTATATCTCACTTACAGGTTAAAATGAGTACACTTATGTCAAGTCAAATAATTTTTCAGGCACATAAAATATATTTCAATAACAATTTTTTTGTTTAACATAATAAATAATAATATTAAACATAATCTTTTTTGGACGTCCGTGTATGAATAGGTGTATGTTGCAGGGAAATTGGTCGAAAAAATGATCGTACCGGAATAATTTTTTTTTTAATTATCTAAAGTAACACACGACAGAATTTCTTAGTTAATATGAGCGTTCAATTCACTGTCGTTAAATTATTATTTATAAAAAACTAATATATGACTGTGGATTTTTTTGTATTTCTATCTATACATTTTATTATAGTATTTTTTTTCCTCACCTTGCAGTTATGGCGCCACTAAACCATAGCAGCGTTTTCTGTTTTTTATTATTTTGCTTTTTATATTTTATTTTAATCAATTTTATTTTAAAAAATGAGATTATGAGGCGTGCACTTTTGGATTTTCCAGACTTTTTTTTTCTATTATTATGTGCGTCATTCCCATAATATTATAGGAACCATTCCTATAATATATTGAAGCTATTCCATTATTGTATATAGGAACGTTTCCAATAAATTATGGGTATGGTTCCCATAATGAGTATAGGATTAATGCCTATAATGATAATTTTATTACAGGATCCATTCCCATAATTGTTGGAAAGATTCCTATAAATTTCTCTCCGTGTATGAAATTAAATACCATTCATTTGTTGAATTTTTGTCGAGTCTAATCAACTGAATTAATTGACTGACGTTATTTCAATTGTAACAATACATTTTTAACAGGACAACTGATTTGAAAAATAATCGGTAAAGAATTTACCGGAAAAACAAAATAATCCGATTTTATTTATTTATTTTATGCTGGCAATATCAAATACAGAAGTGGCGCATAGATTAATCACGCGCGTTTCTAAAATATAACACCCAATGTCGCTTGATAATATTGATAAATAAAAATCTTTCTTCAACATTTGAAACTCTGGGTCACTTTAAAAATAAATTATTTCCTCGAATTACTTTTAGACTATCGAGTGAGAAAAAATATTTAAAATGTCGTGGTGATATTAATAAATTATTTTATATGGACAAGAATAAAATATTTAAAACGTCGCATCAATTAATAAATGCAGGTGACACCAAAATACATCTGACAAATGATAAATAAAAATAAAAAAAGTAACCTATGCTGTGCGAAGTACTTTTTATAAATTTGTTCATTTAAATGCCGTAATTTTTTGCAATCTTTTCTTACTTTCAATATATTTTTACATTAATTTAAAAATTTGAAACATCTCAACAATAAAATTTTTTAAAAGTTCCTAATATAACAATTAAAGATTCAAATCAAGAAATAAATACGTGAAAGCCCTGAAAATAATTTTTTTTTCAATCATTATACAATTAACAACGAAAGGTATACTCAAGTGTCTCAATTTTCCTTAAATGACGTGACAAAATCTCAAAGGGGTAAAAATGAAAGTCACGGCACGCGACAGAATTATTTTATACCGGCAGTTTTATTAATAAAAGGAAAAACAGACACGTGATGTGAAGGGGAGTACGAACATCAGGACTGACAGCCGATATGCCATGAATGGAATACTGAATTCAGAAGAGGAAGAGGATAGAAATGTGGATAAGATATGAAACATGAAACATGTGTTTTTTTGTAGTTATAAGTTACCGTTTTCACTTTTACCGAAAAACCGTAGGCTCTACGCCAATGGGGCATCTGGTGTCGGCCCGAGCACATGCCATACATCTGCTCGCTTACTTAGCCTCTTTATAAAATACAGCCGTATAAAAATATATATATGGGGATAAAAAGTGATCTTGGGGATACTTTTGTTGTCTTAAAAAATCGTCTGGTGTAAGAAAAAAGGATCAATTCTGTTGTTGCTACGCGGGACCGCGCCATCTCTTGATTCAGTTTTTAATTGTTTAGTTTTGTCTCGGATTCTTTGTCCAATTGACAATTTTTTGCGAGTTAGATAAGAATTTTTTCTACTTTTTTTGGTTCAGAAAAATATTGTAAGCCTAAATTGAGGTTTTCTTGATCCAAAAAATTTATTTTGAGCTCGAAGAATTGGGTCAATAATTTATTATAAAATATTTTTTATTTCATACAATTTTAAGCTTCTGTTAAACAAAAAATAATAACTATTTAAATATTGACCCCCAATATTTTTTTTCAAAGATAGAAAATTGAATAATTTATTTTATTTCATGGAAAATTTACAAAAAGTTCAATGTTAAATTTACAAAATTTAACATTCTAATTTTTTTCGTTTTCAAATTGATATTTTTCTAACGTCAATTTGTGGAATTTCATTCTTTTTTTTTAAACAACATTAGAAACTAAACATTTATAAAAAAATGTCTCTTATCATAATTTAAGAATTTTTTTAAACATTCATAAATTTTTACGTTTGATGAATGACTTTGAGGTAAGAACATAATTTTTCAATATTTTTTTTGTGTTCTATAAAAAAAAAAATTTTTTTTCACTCTTAATTTTTTAAATTCTTACAATTTTTTAGAATTGATAAAATTAAACCCAGTTATTAAAATTCGAAAAATTTACGATCGAATATTTTTTTTCAATTTTTCTACTTTCATGCAGAAAAGTAAAAAAAAAAAAATCAAGTGAAGACATTGAAAAATTTAGTAATAATTTTTAACTAGTTGATCTATTATCAAAATTTTCAAATTATAAAAAAAAATCAAAAAATTTTTTTATTTTTCATATTGTTTGAGAAAAAAAAATAATTTGACACTAAAAAATAAATACAAAAAAAAAAATTTCATTCATAAATTTACAAAAAAAATTTTTTTTTGGGTTAAATTTAAATGTCCTTTTTTTTTTAACAAATGAATTGAAAGTAAAAGAACGAAGTCTGCTTGACATCCTGCAACATTCTGGTCACAGAGATGTCTACAAGCACTAAAAGAGTCTACTGACAAAAAGAGCCCAGACGTATGAGATTCCACCATGAAACATTATTTTTTTC